TTATTCTAAATTTATTCTTCCACTTTGTAAACTGGTACCGGCAGCCTTTTTAGCATTTTCCATCGTAAATATGAATCTGATTGGGGCCCATAAATTTTTCTTTTTTATATATACTCGTATAATACCAATACATAGGTTGGTTAATATCAAAATTCCATTATACAGAAAAGGACAACAGAAGGGAATAAAAAATAATGAAAAATAAAGCAACAAAAGCGTTCATATCTAAAAAGGAAATTCAGTTGGGATAAAGACTTTATGTTTCAATCCATTGTCCGAAATAGATAAAAACCTATATAGGTACAATAGGCAAACCTAAAGGAATCATATTTATTTAAATGGTTTATTTAAATATAAGACAAGGAGATAAGATAATAATCGTATATATCACAGAAATATACTAAAAATTTATACTATTCATTTTTTACAATAACTGTTAATGTAATTGTAATTTAAAGTAATATTAATATTCTTTAAAACATATTGCAGTTAAGTTGACAAGCAGAATTCGTTTATATACAAAATGCTCATGATTAATAGTAAACTGTATTAAACAATATCGTCGAAAATACGCTAACGCTTTTATTAAAAATGGACTTGCTTATAAAATTCCTGTAGTTATATTAAAATCAAACTTTATGATTAAATATTTGTTGACATTGTATGTATGTTTAAAAGTTATGCATAAAAAGTTTATATTTATGTTCTTAATAAGATGCATTTTAACGTTACTTCGTCAAGTTTTATTAAAATACTTTTTAAAGCATTGGATATTTGGTTTTAATTAGAAGTTTTTATGTTATACTTTATCTTTTAATATATTTTTATTTTAGAAGTAAAAAATTAAATATTATTTAATTAAAAATTTTGTTATTCAAATATGAAACGAAAATTATAAAAATTATTTTATTATTTTTATTTAATTCTTTCTTCTTGGTTTAAACCAAAAACCTCTATCTATAAGTACCCACCTATTTGATAAGAAAACTAAATAAAGAATCTCACTAAATAAAATATCTTGTGCAAAAGGATTTCCAGTTAAAGCAAACATATTTATTCGATTTAGAAGAACAAATATTATTAAAAGGTTATTTGAGCGAGTCTATAAAAAAGAAGGTCCTTCATAAATGTCTAGCCATACAAAAATATATATACAACAACATACGTATCAATTACCTTTGGATATATGTGCTCAATAGAACTTTTTTGAACACATCTGGGTTTTATTGAATTACATGTAATATAGAGTTTGGGATAAATGTTTATAACATGTATTTTTTTACTTAAATTAGTTTTTTCTGCTCCCACCCTTAAAACGCCCATTATCGTACACCTTTTAAATACACATTGACAAGTTGTGTCTTTATGACGCTTTAGTCACGGGCTGAAGTAAATTTTAAGTTAGTTGACTGTTGTCAAATGTCATACAATCGTAAAAATAAAGTGTGAAAAAGATTATATGATTATTTACTCATTTAAATTAAATTCGTGAATAAAATAACGTTTATCAAACTTCATACTGAATATACTATAAATATAATATTTTTGCTATATGGGTGATTCTACAAAAGCTGGGCAACTTTTGACCTCATTTTGTTTATATAGTTTCCGGATAAAATTAAACAGTATTTTGATATGAGAACATAGATAATATAATAAATATACTGTTCCAGACCGGGCCAGTGACTTCTTTAAACAGTTTCTGAAATATCTGTGTTTTCTAAATTTGAATGCAAGGGAAGTGACGAGTATACCAGGGTACTAATTAAATACATAATTTATTGGAAAATATAAGATTTATTGCAACTTTAAGCATATTATACATTAAATATCTTAAAATCAAATAATACCACACATCAGTGGCGGCTGGTGGATTTTGGGTATACCGATATCTCAATTATTAAATATGGGACCCACACCAAATTTATATGAGTTTATAATGACATTAAATAAACAAGTTCTGCGCAAGCAGAATTTAAATTAAAGCAAAAAAAAGATAACCGAAACATCAAACATGGAACTGACGACACGGTACTGATGAATGGGATACAAATTTGAGATTATTATTAGGAATTCAGTATTTTACTGATATTTTTTATTAGTGGATGCTAATTATCAATAAATCACATATAGCCTTATATAAATTACAATGAAATATATATACGTAAGAAAATAACTACTCACCACAGTACTGACATTTTGACTGGAACTATTCGTGCATTCACCACAATTTCGCCGCTTGCATTATTTTCAAGACGACTGTCGTGCAAAGGGCGGGCTCTATAGGTAATTTTTTACCAACATTTGAGTTAAAACGAGGACATGACGTTTAAACTTTAATATTTCAAAGGAATTTTGAATTTTAACATTGGACACAGAACTGACGGGTAAAAGTGAGTACAAAGATTATTAATTTTTTTAAAAATTGCTATTATTCGAATCTATGATAAAATATGATAAAATATGATGATATTTAATGTTTTATAGTTTGACACGCCAAGGTACTGATGTTTTGAATATTTATTATGTTTTTCTACAAACGTGCTTTTAAAAAAATACATTAAAATTGGGTGGACAAGTTAAAGAAACCTGGATCTTTTGTAATATACTAAAATATTTACAAAAAATATTAAAATACCTACTCTATTGACTGACATCAAGTTGACCAACTTTTGTAGAATCACCCATATAGTAGTATTTAAAAAATATAAACCATTTGTTTTATCAACCAAAATTTTAATATTGTAAAATTACCTTAATATACTTTGATTAGTATCTGACCCCATAAAAATTGATTTGTTTAAAAAAAACCCCGAAAAAGATTTGTTGTGATTTGCATAATTTTAAACGATTAACCCAAACGACAAAGGTTCCAAAGTGGCGTATCTTTGTTTAAAACTTTTCGGGTTTTAAGGGTGGACTAACTGTAAATGATCAATAAGGGAATTCTGTGAAGGACTAAATACAATTTCCGTTCCATAACTGGAAGATTTATTATCTTATGAAAATGCTGGTCCCAATTTGACACCAGGTTTAACAACATTTAGTTTTTGATAAATTTTGATTATTTATTAAGATAATAAAATGCTCCTGTCTATTTAAAAAATGACTTGAAATAGATGTACTGGGTACTCAGAAATTTTTTTTTGGAAAGGAGACATTTGATAACAATTAAAATTAAAGTTTAAATACGAAATATATATCTTTTCTGAATGTATATTAAAGTTGAGTTTAACTTTAGTAACTAAGTAAATTAATTGAATCATATAAACCAAATGTATGTTTGGCTTAACCATACCCCTTAATTAATATTTACATAATAATGATATTATCTTCGGTGGAGTTTTGACTTCATTGGGCCCGCAATAAGTTTTGTATATCCAATACAAATTATTTCGAACTAAATTATAGCCAACAAGAGGATAATTCCAGGAAAACGAAATTGATGTTCATTTCGTGCCCGAAAACTTATAAACAGTGCCCGAAACAAACGGCACTGATGTGCTTGTATATCTTGTGAACATTGTTTGCAAACCCAGTTACTGTTTACATCAGCATTACAAAGATTCGCATTTATTTGTTGAAAAACAAGCGAATAAATAAAATAAATTTGAGTCAAAAAAGATTATGCTTGTTATCGTTCCACCAAAGTTTTCACACAAATTTATTATTATTTTAATAACCTCGAATCGAGATTTGAGATTTGAGATTCTTATACATACACTGAAAAAAATAAGCTGTTGAAACAACAAAAAAAAATATTAATTCAACTCTTTATGCACTTTAAAGCAATGGTTTTTGCACGTTTACTTAACCATCTAAAAATGTCAAATTGTATTGTTTAATTGAACAACAAATATTAGTCAAATCAACAAAATGAGAATATTTGTTCTAATCTGCTAATCTGGTTAATTAAGCATTCTTGATAAGTAGGAGTAATATTTCGAAAATGGTTTTTAAGATGTTAAGATACATTTTTTGAAATGTCCAGGAAACCTTTTTAGCATATTCACTTAACACCAAAAAAATGTTAAATTAAAATAATTTTCGCTAATGTTGGGTTAATTAAATTATGGAATTAATAAAAAGAGAAAGAATTGAACCTTCCCTCGCCAGAGTTTTTGTTTTGAGTGCGTTCCAACTACTTCAAATACCTACCGACAGACAGCTGATTCGACCTATATTGGGGGTCTTATCAGTCACTGATAAACTGTGTCGGGCAATTTGGTATAGTGGAAGTTCCACTGTGGAACACACCGAAAACAAACGGCTACCTCAGCTTATATACTCCTATCGTAAGCCAACTGAGGCGAGATGTAAGAACATCACGTGATCAACACCGTCTAATGACGTGGCGTGGGTGTTCGAAGCGCCCTTCACGGCAATTTTATGAATGCAAAATTAACAAATTTTAAAGTAACATTTACAATTTGTTAAATAAACATTTAATTTAATGTTTTGGATTTAAAGAGCAACTAAACGTTAATTTAATAGTTTTTTTAGGTAATCCTAAAAATTTCAGTATTTGATTCAACCAATTCCAGCTATTAAATCAAAATATTAATTTTAATTCATTAAATTAGTTTATATTTAATCAATATTTTAACTGTCAAATGAACAAATAAACTTTAACAAACTCTGACTATTGCTTTGACACCAAAATATAGATTATCCACACAGTGTCCCTTAGCAAAAAATAGGTATTTCAAAAATGTCAACGAAACCCCTTTATATATTTCTTTTATGGATTATCTGGCGGAACCAAAACTAGTGTTGGTTAAATCAAAGCTGATCGGAAAACAATCTGTTGGTATTTTTTTTACTGTTTTACCAAAATTCAAGTTTTTGTCACTGGTTAAGAATAACTGTAAAAAAAGGTGGAAAGTGACAATACAATAAAGTAGGCTAGTGTCAAAATGACATCTTGAATATTCGAAACCGTCATTTAAAACTCCAGCAAGAAAAAATCATATACAAAGACTAGAAAATTTAAATTGATAATGCCGAAAGAAGCGGACCATGAAGAAAATCGACGAAAAGTGTCTATATTGTGTGGTTCTAAAATCGTATTTGGGAAGTCCAAAGCGTCAGTGTTTAACTTGAAAGAAAAATTGCACAAGCCTATTTGTAAGTATAAATTTGATAAAAGCGACTCAAGATATCCCACGTCTATTTGTGGAAATTGTCGCCCTGTTCTCTTTGATAGAGAAAAAGATGTGTTCAAGAGAAATTTCCCCGTGACTCCTCAATTTGACAAAATAGTCTTGCATGCTAAAATTAGAAACACCACCCAAATATGCAATTGTTTTCTGTGTCAAACGGCTAGACATAAAGGCCACAAAAGTTCTTCAGTAGTAAAAGTAGGAACCATGGGCCATGAGGTAACAAATCAAAAGCAAAAATTCGAGCCAATATGTCAAATTTGCTTTCAAAAAACCGGAAAAAGAATTAGGCACAACTGTTCCAAAACGTATGCTTATCGAAATGTTAAGGACATTGTACAAAAACTCAAAAAAAAACCAACAAAAGGAGCATGTTGTAGTGTCTTCGTTGAAATCCTGCATTGATGATCAAGCAGCCAATTGTGGAACATCTACAAGCAGAAGCAGGTACCAAAACGCAGAAATAAAATTATCCACATGCGTGTTAATTGCTAGGATTGTTATTAATCCGAAAATGGCTAAAGACGCATTTTTTCCGAAAATAATTTAGACAATTTCCAATCAAACACAAGTTCTTCTTTAAACCAAATGGAAACCTTAACAAACTTTATTAGGTCATGCGCAGTAAAAAATGCAGTTCCGGCTAAATATCGTCTTCATGCAAGTAAAAATTCAAAAATGTTAAGCAGTTTTTATAAACAGGGTTTATACGAATTTGACATCAATGAAAAGAGGGAAAAACAAAATCGGGCTATAGTGTGGGCAGATGCTGAAGAACTGGTTAAGGCTGTTATTGAAAAAAGAAACTATATTGGAAAACCTGAAATTAAACTTATGGCTGATGGAGGGCAAGGTTTTTTTTTAATTTGTTTGACGATTTTACCGGAAAATTACTCCTCTGTGTTAAATAAAGGTTTAGCTGGAAACCAAGAAATAGTAGAAGACGAAATAAATGCAATGGATCAAGGTAAACGATCTACATATGCAGAAGGAGGAAGAGCAGGAAAAAGAGGTAAACTAAGTGGACTACAAAGATTAATAATTGTATGCATGGTCCCTCAAATAAAAGAAAGTTTCGACAATATTAAATTTCTATTTGATCTTACACAGATAAACAAAATTTCCTTCAAGTTTGTTTCGGACCTAAAGGTGACCCTCCTCGTCAATGGATTTCAGACAGCAACTGCAACGTACCCGTGTCCTTATTGCTATATACCACTACACGAACTAAGGTTTCAAGATAAACCCACAAATATTGAAGATCCCACCTATGAAGCTCAAACGATGTGTTTAAGAACTTATGGAGACGTTACCAAGCATTTCGATAAATTTTATTCTCTAGGCAAAAATAAAAAAGTCGCTAAAGAATGTTTTAGCACCGTAAATGTACCTATGTTTGAGGAAGAAGGTAAGACCTTTATTATTCAAAAATGTATTATACCAAAAATGCACATTTTGCAAGGCTTTGTAAATCACCTATTTTGGGATGGGCTAGTACCACTCGTGGGAAGAGAAGAAGCCCTTAATTGGCCAAAAATACTAGGACTTATATCAAAAAACTATCAGGGTGAAATTTTTGAAGAAAATGCATGCCGAAAGCTTCTAAAGAATTCTGATTGTATTCTCGATATTAAGGTCATTCGTGAAAAAGTTGGCTCTTTACAAATTGTTCCAATAATATCAGCATTAAAGGCAATGAACAAAGTTGTTGAAGATTGTTTTTCTAGTCGCGGTGGTCAGGAACTCAAGAAGAACATTGTCCATTTAAGAAAAACCTTTAAAGCCACTGGAATTTCGAAAACTTTAAAAATCCACATCGCTCTTAATCATCTTGAAGAATGCCTAAGCTATCTTAACCATCGGGGTCTTGGATTATGGTCAGAACAGGCGGGAGAATCTCTTCATCGAGAGTTTTTTAAAATCATGGAGCATATAAATTAAACAATGTTAACGACCTTAGATACGGTGATTTTTTGTTAAAAGCAGTTGTAGAGTTTTCTTCTACACATTTGTAATTGTAAGTTGTGTTAAATTTTGATATTTTTTTTAATTTAATATCATCAGCATTAATAAATAGCAAGAAAATAATATTCATATTTAAAATAAATTATAAGGTTTATATCCGATCAGCTTTGATTTAATCGAACTTTGTTTTGGTTCTGCCAAATAGTCCACAATAAGTATCCATAAAGATATTTCGTTGACATTTTTAAAATACCTATTTTTTTCTAAGGGACACTGTGTCCAATAGGTTTTTGATGAAACAACATTTTCAAAAATGACATTTAGGTTAACGTTTACTCAACTATATTATTTTTTTCGGTATAGTATTGACATAATTTTATTATTATGAAACACATTAAATTGTATAATGCAAAAGTATTTTTTTATAATATGAGCTACAGGGTTCGAAAAAATCATGATTTAAAATAAAAAAATTTTTTATTAAAAAAATTAAAAAAATATTTTTTTGATTTTTTTATAAACTATAAGCATTTTTTAATGAAGTGTACTATGAATTCCTTTATTATTTTATTTAACAAAATATGCAGTTTTTCTATGCATATGAATTTATTTAAATAATGTAAAGGTATTATTGTGCTTTACTTTTAGATCTTTTAAGTGTTTTTTTAGATTTTAGAAACTTTTTTTTAAACTGATTTAAATCATTGATTAAAATACAAAATTACTTAATTTAAATCGTGATTTAAATTAGGCAAACCCTACATATGCAGCTAGGATAGTTTTTTAAAAATGTACATACATAACATAAATAATAAAACGTGTATTATCTCCAATTATTTAAAATGCACCCTTATTACGGGGGTTGGCCTATTTCACTCCACTTGTTGAACATTCGGTTAACAAAGAAATGTGAATGACTATATAAAACCCTTGAAATTCCTGTCGAGGGAATTATCCTAGGCAATATACTCGTTTCTGACTATACCACTTAAACATGCCATTAAAATGAATATCCCCTTTTTGAAAACCATAATTTATGTTTAAAAAAATCTACTATTCTTTTTTTGACTTATGATATTGAAAAATAGTTCTTACTATTAAGAGTAAGTTATAAATGAATATAAAGCTAGGCCTAATACATATTTTAATAGGAAATTTTCGCAAATCCATCCATTTAAAAGATATCTTAGGTCAAAGACAAGCAATGAAAGATAAGTTACAATTTATTTGTCACTAATAGCAGGAGGACACCATGTAAGGAAGAAATGGAAGCAGGAAATGAGTAAAATAAAAAAAAACATAATTGACTTTTAGCCGAATCGTATGTTTCATTGAATATTTACGACACGAAAATTAGTCTCTTCGAGCAAGCGAAACGTCGAAAAAAAGTAAGATTAACGCGGCCACAGAGGGAAGTTTGTAAGGATAATTAGGTATTTTGGATGGCATTGTACGAACCTTAGGTGCCTTTCATCGGCAAAAAATTTATTGTGTAACTGTTACGCCAAGAAATTAGCTCCTTATATACCGTACAAACACTTCTTAATTATTCTGCCGAGATTAATTAATATATTAACAATTAACGTACATAAGTTGGTAAGTCATGATACAGCGAGTGTCTGGAACAAACTTTTGGTTAATTGCAAGTCATTTGTGCCTGACACCATAAAGAAACTATAGGTACTTTAATTAGGCTACATTGTTTTGTAATTTTTAACTTTCATTACGTAGAAAGAATTTTTAAAATAGAAAATTGTACCAAAACTTTTAAAATGTTCTAAATGTTTCACAACGCTAAAAAAAGTTCTTATCTTTTTTTAATATAAATAAGAAATATAAGCTTTTTATCAAAAGGCAATTTATTACACAGATTTCCTCGAAAGGTTTATTAAGGTGATTTTTATATGAGAAAATAAAAGTTTTGGGTCTTGGCTCTTTAATTTATGTTCTTTAATTGCTGGTGGCCCCGAGGTCACAATAAAGGAACAGCAAGTAAAATAAAAGGCAAGAAGAGTTTATTAAATATAAGGTATAAAAGTTTAAATGAAATTTAAAGAAATGGGACAATAAACTTTATTTTTGGGTTAATATGAATATTTTATTCGGTTTATTATAAATTTTATTTTTAGCCATCAAACCCTTTATTTCGGTATATAATATTAAATTGAATTTTCTCCTATGAAATTTCTAATCCTTGGAAAATGATTTTTTCTCAAAGAATAAATAACTCCATGGGTATCACGAAAACGTTAAGGATTATTTATTAAGCAATTTTAACAGTGGGTGATCATAAAAAGTAAACCACATGAGTAAATTACATTTCACCTTTTTTATTTATTTCTTAAAATTGTTTCATCCAATCCGACTGCTTTATGGCGTTTCAGTCACGGGCTATAGTAACTTTTGGGGTTTTTAGTCACGGGCTGAATTTGGCTTTATTATTAATATTAATTTAATTTAAAGGTCAAAGGTCAAGGTTAAAAGGTCAAAAAGTAAACATTTTGCTCTTGCCTACTTAAAACGTGACTAAAATGCGGCTTAATGCTTAATATGCACTAATATGAATAATCGAACTAGCCTTTGTCATTTTAAAGTATATGATTTTCTATCTTAAAATGAAATAGTGAAAATTCTACTATTTTAATTAGTACCAGCATTTTTTACTAATAAAATAGTCGTTTTCAGTTTTAAATAGATATTTTTTACTACGTAAACTAATTTAAGATTAGTCACCATCTTTGACTATTTCTGAGAGTTAAAAGTAACTAATTTCTTTAATCGTTTGCGGCCAACAACAAAGTATTATTTGAATTAAATGCATATAGGCTCCATGGTTAAATGGCCCATAAAAACAAACAAAAATGCAAAAAGTTTAGCTCAAAACAGCAACACAAATAATGTATTCAACTTTAAAATATTATGAACAACACAGGGAGAAAAGTATAATGCTGATTACCATAATTATAATACCCTTTACTATAATGTATATTACTATTTGGGACAACTATCTTGTATATTGCCAGATACTATGCATATTTAGTAATTTTTAAATATCCATGTATGTTAAACCTTAAGCTAAAATATTATTATTCTCAACCAATTTTGTTTTTAACTCTTATTATAATTAGATTTTTTCCATTACTAATAAGTATAGTAAATTTTAAAATATTATGTTGCCATTTTAAATATAAAATATTTTAAAATCGAATATTTTTATATGTTAACAATTAAAAATTGTAACATATTTATTGTACTTTTTAATATACAAAAATGTTATGAGAAAGAATTGAACCTACACCTCGCCAAAGTTTTTTGTTTTGAGTGCGTTCCATCAACCGACAGACAGGTGTTTTGACCTATTATATAATATAATATTGGGTATCATCAGTGTCGACACGACACTGTCGAGCAACTTGTAGTAGTGGAACACACCCAAAAAA